ACACACACACACACACACACACACACACACACACACACACACACACTGCTTAGAAAAAACCCTCAGATATATTCGTTCGACAGGACCAACCTTTGAAACTCACTTTCTTCCAAATCTTCCCATGAAATATGAAAATAAACAGACATTTTCTCATATTTAACAAAATTGCATTGAACAGTTAGATTATGACACATTATTAAATCATAACATTTAACCCTGATAAACATTTCTTAGATTGTTGAAACCACCAGCTTCCTTCAAAGGTGCCTGCAGTCATATTGGCTCACAGCAGCCCTTGTGACAAGATAACAGAAACCTTGATATCTTGATATTTAATCATCCTCTCTGATCTGAAAATCGACCTGAACGTCATCACTGATAATCTGACAGGCTGGAACAAAGTCTCAATTACGTGTTTACAGAATTAAAAGTACAATAATTAGGCTGAATTTGCAGCTAACAGCTGACGTGTAGTGATATGTACCTGTACTCGTTCATGTACCGTGTTTGTGTAGTATCATCAGTGTTGTGTTTTCACAGATTTCAGATGCAACAGCTCACAAGAATATAGTGTTTTTGCCTCCTGTGTGATAAGACTGATAGTTCTCTCATGTCTCTAATGGATATGAAATTATTGCCAGAATGTAGTTAGCTTAGCTAGGCCCGGCTAAAAGATTAGAAATAGAGCCAGTCTAGAAGAGTCTACTTCCTGGTATTTCCACCAGGAATCCAGCCAGGTGAGCAGTAGGGGGCGATCGTGAGCCAATCCTGAATATGTGTAAATGAAGCTCAACAGCTAACACGTTTATTTACACCCGTTTAAAGACAAAAAGCCTATTTTTATTTTAGTATTTCTAACACAACACTGATAATATGCCAGATTTGATATGAAACGACTCTTTTATCTCTCTTTGATTTTTATTTTTTCTAAATTATGCATCGGTCGTTTAAGGACGGGGCGTACTTTCTCGATGGTTGTGGGAAGCGTAGCTTAACAACAATGGAAACTTCCATTTGTATATAAGAAGCTACTGGTTGCGTCCCACTTCAAAAGCTGTAAAGCTTTCTCAGATTTACTGCAACACAAAACTGTAAAACTCTTAAAAAAATTAAAACATAAATAAAAGTAAATCTGTTGGCTCAAAGACGTCTTTTAAGAACATCATGGAAACTCGCCAAAGAAAAATGCTTTCTCCAGTAGAACTGGTCTATTTCTTCATCTACATAGAGCTCCACTGATTACGGAATAACTCATGAGCGCCCCCTACGCTCTCTGAGAAACAAGGGAAAATGGGTATCCTGGTTAACTGGACACCTGTGAGGTCACAAGCTGTTATCTCAGGTGTGCTGGCAGATTTGGAGATTTTGCTTTATAACATTTGAAACTGAAGGACAATCGTAATAATTTCTATGCAAAACTCCCAACATTCCCAAAATTCCCAACCATGTGCTGCATGTGGCCTCTGTGTGGATTTGTTACTTTTCTTTGTCCCATGTTACACAGAAAGAATTTATTTGATAAACTGATGGATGACGATGAAGCCGCAGGATTTCTGAGGGACAAATGTTTTATGCTTTTGGTACGTTACATATAAAAAAAATAATTATCTGTGTGTTAAAAATATAACTCAGTACTCAGACAGGCGTTTACCAGGAACCGTATGGGTCCAGGAAATAAACTTTACTTTCATTATTTCATTATATTTAAATTTGAGTTATGTTTAAAAATTCAAAAGGTTGTTTTCAAATAATGACTTTTACAAACAATAAATAAATAACTGGTTCAGTTTGAATGTTAGGATTACTGAAAAACATACAGATGGATGAGCATGAAGGTGTTATTGGATGTGGGGTTTTCATTTGTATTCTTTAGTGTTGAACAAAGAGTCAAATTGGATATTTTGTATCATGTCTTCACAAAAAAATATCAAATTGAAAATAATGTCATAGACATCTTTTTGTTAACGGAATAAAACGAACCTGGATCTGAGAAGTTCATACGTGGTGTGGACGGCCTGCTGTTGTTTGTATTTGTCCTTAAATATAAAGTTGTCCAAAGTCAGTCAGTAATTGTGTTAAATAATCGTGATCTCCATATTTACCAAAGTAACTGCGCACTGACAGATTTGTTACCAGTGGAGCGCTCTCAGGGCTACGGTAGATATGATACATCTGTCCTGTTTGATTTCCATGTCTGACCCACGTATTTGAAACACAGAACATTAGGATTTTGGACTTAACTCTGCAAGAATGTCATACGAGAGAAAGAAAATCAACAAATCCGACACTCTGACACCAGGATGCGTTCTGCACTGCAGCTTCAAAAATCATAATATTCATCATCAATTTATAGATGAATCATTGGGACTGGAGAACCAAATGTGAGAAGTGTGCGAAGTGGAGATTCAGCTGAACACAGCGCTGCACAGAGATTTGCGAGGCCTCTCGATGGCGCCGCATTTATTTACACTCCGAGTCTGTGGGAGTGCGTGGAGATTAAAACGGTAAACCACCCAGGATACGCCAGTGAAACGACGGTGTGTTGAAACAGCATCTTAGAGGATTTAGAGGCTGTTTGATCATAAAGGTGCAGAAATCCTCTAACAAGCTTAGAGCGAGCAGTTTTGTTGCTTCACACAGTCGACTTTGACATTTTATGGCACAGAAACAAAGGCGGTCAACTAGAAAAGGAGCAGAGACACGTTTCCACAAGGCAACACATCCAGTGGTGTGATATTTGATGCCGGTCGCAGGCGGTCTGGTGTGTGAAGGATCTGACCAGTTCATCGTGCGAGTTAAGAGTTTGAAGCTCATGCAGCTCTTTAGAGTCTATTTACTCGTTCAAAACAGCAGAGAGTCATTTTTATAGCAGGCCCTTGATTAGAGGCTCTCTGCAGATGGTTGTGTTGCTGAAACTGAGCTCAGGAAGGCTGACTGTCTCCAGGACTGGAATGATCATCAACATTTGTGTTCATTTAGCCTTTTCTGCAGAGAGCTTTCTCCCTCTGAGCCCCCGTTTTGGATCTGACCACGTTTTTTTTTCTGCTCTTCGGTTGTTTTTATAAACCCAGATGCATTTGAAGAGCTCTGACGCATCATCAAATGAGTCAGAACTTCCTATCAGATATTAAATAACACAGCTGAGATCCAGATTCACTAAGAGTGTGATGTGAGTCTAATGTAACCTCTTAACTTCCGCCGGGAAACTGGAGACCCATTTAGGGTTCTGGGTGGGTTATCGCCTTTTTCTAGTTTCTGAAATGTGCTTGTTTAGCATCAAGCTGAAGTGTCGCCAAACCCAAGCTCTAATCCTTAGTGGGTCACCAGAAACCATTTGGATGTCTGAGTAGAATTTTGGCTCAGAAGTTTTTTCCTTTACGTCTTTACTTGGTGTGACGGAAATGTTCAAACTTTAGTCCCTGCAAGTCAACATCAGCTTATCTTCTACGGTTCTTTCAGATAGAGTAGCTATAGTAGAATTTACGAAATATTATGACAGTGTATCGTGGCCATTAAACATTAAAAAAAAAACATGAATGGAGCAAAGAGAGGAAGGTAATCTTCCCGAAAAAACATATTTAATTCTTGGTATTTTAATCCCAGATATATGGATTTGTAATCTAATGTTCAGAGTTATATATTTCTTTGAATGGCAGCGTACCTTGGAGAACTGATTACTGAAAATGTAAATTTTTGTCTTAATTTTTTTCTTTATGAGGACTTAAAAGGATATTCAGTGAGATTTATGCTGGCAAATCTTGCAAATTGTGTCCCAATACACAAAGTTTTGTTTTGAAATGTGTTTAAAGTGTGATTTCTATGTGTAACTGAGGCGTGAGTGACCATGAAGTTTGCTGTTTCCAACACACACATTTAATGAATCTGGGTCTGAGTGATCTTGGCGGTTTTGTTCAGTGTGATCAGTAAACGATGACGTATTGCGTTCCCATCAGACAGTAGTGACCGACAGCAGTGGGCTGGGACAAAGCTGGCTGTCGCTCTCCACTCGAGTCCCGTGAGTCAACAGCTCCTCCACCGTTGTCCAATCATCGAGCAGCTTGCTGTTCCTCAGTCGGTTCTGCTTCATGTGGCTCAGTTCCAGCACCGTCTGAGATGACAGTGACCCCTGAATGCCCCCAGTTTGCTCCTCCCCACCTCCTCTCCTCTCTCGGTGTTGGCGTGACAGGGCCAGGTGGCGTCTTCTTTCCGTCCGGCTCCAGTATCGCCCCGCCAACCGTCCATCGTCTCCTTCCTCCTCCCCTAGTCTGCCTCCTTCTCCTCGCACCTCCTCGTCTGTGGTGACCTCACTGCGTTCCCTGGCCAGACGGTACGCTCGGGCCCTGAGCAGCTGATTCCTGACTGACCTCTGATTGGACAGTCTGGAGCGAGGTGAGGGTGGAGAGCGAGGACTATGTTGCGGCGCTCCAAGAGTGCTGTAGAAAGGACTGCACGTGCCCTTTGGCCTGCCAGGGCGGTTCCCGAGGGTCTGAATGCCACGCCAGTCTGACATGCCACTGGAGCCGGATCCAGGGCTCTTAGAGAGCGAGTCCTCCTCCCTGCTGCGGTTCGAGCCTGGGCTGTTTCTCATTGTGTTCTGATGATTGGTCAGACTCGTTTTGTCTATGCTCAGATGACTAGCAGGGTGACAGTTGTTGGGATAGCTGGCCCTGCTCCTGGGCCCCAGTGCATTGCTGGTTGTGTCTGGCTGGTTTGTCTGGGCTGTGTTTGGATCTGTCATGTTGGGATGGCTTGCCCTGCGCCGTCGCTGTCCTTCACTCAAATCTGTTATTGTTCGACTCCTACCTGGACCCTCTACAGTCCCGCCTCCTCTGTGCTGCTGCTGCTCCAACCATAGCGCCCTCCGCTGACAAGGCTCTGTACGACAACCTGTTCAAAGAAAGCTGTGATTAGGCCTTAGATATGTGTCTGCAAGAGTGTTTTTGGATATACTGAAATATGCTTGACGGGCATCTCTGTCCTACAACCCCAGAAACACTCACCTGAACCTGGATTATAAACATATGAGGTGAGACGCAAGTTTGTCAGGTCGTGGTGCATTAAGGATCCGAGACACTGAGCTGGTGACTTAATGCTATTTTGCTAGAAAGTCAGCACAACAATACCACGATGCAGTGCACGGTTGGTTATATAAACAAGCAAATGTGGAAACTACACGTTGAAATGTTGGCTCTCAGTCAAGACATTTAAGCATTTCTCTCCCTCACAATGAGAGAGTCTGAGACTTTATGAATAAAAGAGGGATTTAGCCACCGTGACATTGCAGATTGGTTTCTATTAGCACTTTGTCCATCTACTAAAAGTGACTATGTTTGAATGAGATGGTAGCGTGGCCAAATTATCAGCTTGCTGAGCAAGATTGATTCATAGACTATGGGTACATCACACCAGCAAACATACGTGCTTATCAGTGGTAAGTTATGCTTCACCAAAGTCTTTACTTCAGCAACACTGAAGAGTAGACTTCTTGGATGGTCTGCAGCGATCGATGCAGGAGATACAATCACAGTGGAGAGGCTGTTCTCATTAATTCTAGAATGTGAGGTCCAGCGAATAGCTAACAGCTACTGTTACCTGTGTCAGCACTCTGTCAAAGTGGCCACTCCCCTAACTTTGAGCCTTTGCTGTATCTAAATGGATGGATTTTAAACCTGATGTGTAGCTTACGTGAAGAAATCCATCTATAGAGACAAAAACTCTACCCAGCTGTTAACCTACCTTTGTGATGCTGTAGAGTTGGGCATTTTAACATGAGCTGTTGGAGCCGCCTCGAGTGATCGTTCAAGGAACTGAATCTTTGTCCCTGCCTTAATTTTCAGACGCAAATTTAGCTATTTGATTGGAGGGTGTAAACCTGATAATTCTGTGTTGATGTAGTTGTGTTTTTTAGGAAAACAGGGATAAGAAGAAAAGACACCCGACGCTAAAGTCACTTTGACCTCTGGTTGGACTGTGATGAAGCCATAGCTCAAAACTTTGACAGATCAGACATAGGTGTGGACAGACAAATTAAAATGACTAAAAGTGGAGATTTTCACAATTATTTTACTGTGTTTTACTAACCGATAGAGGGTGAGGGTGGTGAACGGTGACGAGGTAAAGTGGGACTCCTCTCAGCTCTGTGGAAGTGAACTGTTGTGGTCGTGCTGTTACCCACAGAGCAATGGGATGCTTTTGGTACTCCAGGTTGGGTCATCGGAGTCGTCTCAGGAATCGACTCCAAATCCCAGCGTCCTCTCTGCTCACGAGGGGAGTGGCCTGAGCGAAGATGGTGAGCTTGCCGGTGAGTGTGGCCTCCGTGAATCTTGTGTAGCCGTCTGTGCTCCCCAGTGCTGACACTGTGGAAGCCTGAGTCGCTGGGTTCGGAGGAGATTAGGGACTCAGAGGAAGAGGAGGATCCTTGAGAGGAAGGGGTGTGGCCAGGCAGTGATGACATGGCATCTGTCTCAGCTTCGGAGAGCGCTATCCGGTTGTGTGGGCTGTCGGGGCCACAGCCTAACCCGCTGTCAAGCTCACTGAGGGGAAGGAAGCCAAGAGGACGTTCAGACCTCCAGGGCTGACGATAGTCCGACTAAAGAGAAAATAAAAGAATTTAAACTGAGGTTTTTTTTCCAAATCAAACTGCAAAATATGCTGCAAATGCTCCATAACTGCAACATTTACTAATAAAAAATGGAATAGTTAGAGAAACGGTATAACAGAGACAGGGATAGGTCTGAGAAGAGGGCATAGCCTTGATACTGAAACCAGTTACCTGTCTGGGAAAAATTTTCGGGTCCACCTCTTCTGCACCGTAACAGCCAATCAGACAGCTCTCAGAGTTAGGCTGGTAGTGCAACATTTCTTGGCCCTGAAATAGAAACGAAGGTGAGAAAAGAAACTAGTGTGTCTTCATTGGAGAGGGTCATGAGTTAACTTTAGTGCTGAAAGTCTCCCAGACGTGACCTTGAAGAGGAGTTCAGTCAGATGTTTTTAAGGGCCGATTTATGGAACAATCTGGAAAGATCGCAGCTAGCGTCATATTTTAGACGAACACACTCAAGTGATATTTCAGAATAAAATGGTGTTGTAAACAAAAACAAGTTACCCGGTAGTCCAGTCTGTCCAGGTGGTCTAAGCTGTAGGACACACTGGGCAGGTAGTTGTTGCCTGGGTGCTGGTCATTTGATGATCTGGGGAGGTATCCATTGGGTGGGTAGGCATCAGGTGGCATCATCATGTGACCATTGGGAGAGTATAGGTCAGGTGACACAGTCATGTGACCATAATAAGGCCTGTGTAGTGAAAGAGATCATGTCACTTTATATTTTATGAGGAAGAGGAATTCAATAAGAATGTAGGACGCTCCAGTAAAAGTGTCATATATACCTGCTTAAATAAAAACAATACATGTATAGTCTTCATGTTCTAAGCAGACAGGTACTTCAGGAGAACAACCTTCCATGGCCATGAGAGAGACACTCGATGGAGCATCGTGCTGATCTTGCAAACTCAATTTGCCCCAAACCCTCAAGTAAAAAAGACACATTGTCCTTCAATCTGACATATCATGCAAACAGAGGCATAGGATTTATTTTGGTGTTTTTCGTTGCAGTCGTTACACGTCAGCTCATCCCCAAAACTTTTCTAAAAGTTTTTATGATACGTGTTCTCATCCTTGATCCCGAACCCACATTCTCTGCTTTGTGGTGAAAGTTTACTCTAGTTGTCCGTGTAGGTTCTCAGTCATCCAGGTCATGGTAAACTAAGGAGCTTGGAATGAAAAGCAACTGGATGTTTCATCTCTCATCTGAAAAGCTTCACCAGTTCTAAGACCAAATGGTGGAGAGTCCCAGATTTTAAGCCGTAGTGGGAGATCTCCCTTGAGAGGCTCGTTGACCCATTAACTGATCATAAGGTGTGAAAAAGGGTGTGGCTCATTATCAGCAGAGACCGGGTGAAACCATTTTCAGGGTGAGTGGGTGTTAAGTCGCCTGGGAAGGGATCTCGAAATTGGATTATAGGTGGCAGACAGTTGGTGTCGTAAGCCACGCCCTTCTGTTCAAGGATGGCTGTCGTTCAGATGGTTTCTTTCAACTAAGCCATCCATGTCCACTGCTGGGAAGGCCTTCCACACCATGTATAAACTTATTCTTAGAGTTCAGATAGATATCTACAACCAGATTAGTTTTATTTCCTTGAGAATAACAAAAAGATATCTAACCATTTGTTTTCAATTTGATATCTATTTGTGAAAATGTGATACAAAATATCCAACTGTCTGCCACCTATAATCCAGTTTTGAGATCCCTTCCCAGGCGCCTTAACTTCCACTCACATCTTGTGTCTGTTGGTCTCAATAAGTTACATGATAGCGTGACGCAGGGACTCACAATGGTTTCACCTGAAACCTCTGCTGATAATGATTCGGATAAGAGGTGAAAACATCTTCAAGAAATGTAAAGAAGTTCATTTCCACTTTCCTTAGTTTAGCTTCAAACTTTCAACTCATCCTCCTGCCATTTTTTTAGTCCTACGGCCAACCAACATCTTATCCAGTTTGCAAACACCTTATTCCCAAAATTGGACCTTCGTTCCAAACTTTGCACCATTTAATTCTTTTCCTTCTCTATAAAAGTCTCTCATACTGTGAAAAACACAAATTTCTCTATTGTCATGAACGTATGGGGTTGGGGCGCTGACTTGGTTATCAAGTCGGATCTTGGCTCCTTAAAAGTAAAGAAAACTGAAATGTTTTTTACTTAAATCACAAAAATGATGCTGTCAGAATACGACAGGAGTACGTACCCTGCAGTGTAGCCGTCTCCCTGACTTTCCTCTCCCTCCATCAGCCCCATGGCTCTCAGGGCCTCCCAGTGTCTCTCGGTGGGGACGCTGCACTCAATTGCACAATGGGACCTTCGCCTCCTGTGACCATGCCCCCTTTTAGCTTCGACCTGCACAGTGACCGGCTGGCCATACTCGTCCACGTAGTGAAGCTCCTCTCGGTGTCGGTGGTGAGCAGGTTCACGAGTTTTAGCCTGAAGACCAAAAAAACATGAAAGCACTGCAAGCTTAAGAAAAAGTGGAAATGAACATCAGTAATTTGGTTCCTTCTATAAACCATTATTTATATTTTCAGCCACCCGAGGTTTCTGCCGTGAAACATCGCAGTATTTTGTGGAGTAATGATAAAGCAGATAGGCAGCATAAAGACACAGAGGCAAAGTGGGAGTTTGGCCTCCAATACAAGGTCAGTCAGTGCTTTTGATCCAACTGTTTGGCATGCCTGACTACAATTGCGTTACATAAAGTGGCAAATGATTCACACTGTCTTTATATAAAAAAACGAGCCATTTTGCATAAGTTGGATAACAAAAGAGAAAAGTTTGGAACTGCAGCAAAGTTTTTCCTTTAGTACTGTGTTTACTGTGAGTGTGTTTTTTAATGGAAACAGATGTTTATTGAATATAAAGCCTCTGACCGATGACCCTCTATGACACCATCAGCTGTGTCTCAGAAGGCTCCATGCAGTATTCATGTAAACTGGAATAGTTATTACACCAGACAAATAAAACCACTGGGTGATGAATAGGTCGTGTAAACACACTGGTACTGCTGTCCAGGCTCCTGTGCATGTTCATGCTGATCTCGCTCTACCTCCAGGATGACCCTGCTTTCATATCTGTGGGATGCAGGTGAGCTTGGCTGATTGGTTGCTGTTTTAGCTTGCTGCAGGCCTGACGCTTGAATGTTGGCTTCCCTCCATCTTCTGTGGGCTCTCCTCCTTCCACCTCCAGCCAGCAAGCAAACTAGTCACTCAGCCTGTGTGTAGGATGTTAACTGATATCTGCCCAACAATGCAACAGTCCAGGTTTGGTAGAGGTGGGTGGCATCTCTGTGTAATCCTCTATTTCTTCTATTTTGCTGAGTTAGGAGTTTATTCTTCTCTTTTATTTCATTAGGTATGTTTAGGTTGTACTCAGGGGTGAACTGAAGCAAAACTTCCTTCAGCGAGTTTGAGTCTATCCTCAGTCCCACAGAAATTTTTATGCTAACCTTGCCTCTGTAGAGCTGTCACGATATCACATTTTCTCCAACAACCATGCAAACTCACTATGAATACACTGACAGCACCGATGTTCAGAACAGTTAGCATAGACCTTATAAACAGAGAGTGTTAATGCAGGCTGCATTAACACGACTGTATGTCTTTGGATGCATGCGGTCTGTAGGTGATCGTGACAGAGTTGTGCTGAATTTAAATGCCCTGAAACTAAACTACAAACACAGAAAGTCGAGAAGGAAAAAACGCCTCTCCCTCTCCTGCACGCTCATCTTTTCTCTTTTCTTTCCCTTCAAGTTTAAAAGCAGATAACTGCCTCTCCCTGACCCCGGTTCTACTAAAGATCTCCTGTTAAAAGAACGTTCTTCCTCCCCACCATCCCCAGCTGCTGGCTCACAGGAGATCCAATCATTATAAATCAGTCCTATTTTATTTTGTAATCTTTGGTTCCTGAGTATTCTTTTAGTATTCCTTTGACAGTTTTCCCTTAATTTTTTTCAGCTCTGCCATCACCTGTTTAATTAGCCACACCTGTTCCCAGTCAGCCAATCAGCTGTGTCTCCCCCTGCTTCTCTTTGTTCCTTTGCCCGATCCCCTCATCTTTTTAAAGGTTTGGTTTTCCGGCAGTTCCCAGTGCTTTAAGCATTCCTCATGTTCCTGATGATCTTGTGCACGGCCTTTTTGGATTCTCTCTTTTGCCTGCCCCTTGCTGGAATTGTTTGCTCTGCTAGCTGACCCGTGCACGACCTCTGCCTGGTCAAAGAATTTTAGTCTCTTTGCCTCCGGGGTCTTGCATTTGGCTCCTCTGCTCAGCGAGCCCTGCACTAACAGTGTCGGGTACCTCAGTCTATAAAGCCCCTTCAGATGACTTTTCTCTATATGGATGCAAATGAATTCACACAGTAAAAAACAAAAAGATTTGCCTTTGTTGTTTTAATGATGCTATTAAGAAAAACTGTGAAAATCAACAAGTAATGCTGTAAACTATTAAACGCTTCCCTAAATAAGGAAGTGTTAGACGTGAAAGGCTGAATGATGGAGAGTTCAATAGAACTGAAACCAGCATAACGGAGGTCTGAGTTTATAAATGGAACGAAGACGAGTTCACTGAAAAATCGAGAAAGATTTCAGTTGAGTGACTCACATACAAATAAGGCCAGCTGTACCAGAGACGCACGATAAACACTGAGACGCCAGACTGGGAAGATTTGAGATAATAATGAAAAAGCTTCGACTCAGTAAATATTCTCTGCTGCTCGTTTCTGAAGGAGAAACATTGGCTGAGATTTTGTTTGGCTAGACCTCGAAAATAACACAAGTCTGGAGATCAGGCTGATCACAATATCTCATTTTTACAAATTAATTAATGAAGATATGATTTTGAAAAATAACAGCAACGATGTTATCAGTCAAATCAAGGTTTAACTTTAACTTAGGATAAAATGAGACCTGATCATATAGATTTTAAATATGAGAAGTTTCTTTATTAATTCCCAATTATTTAATTTAGAATTAGCTTTTTCAGTGCTGTATACCATTTTATTTATTAAAATACAACAAATAAGATCAAGCAAGCTCACTCTGTCCAGAGTGGATCGTTCTGTCCAGTCAGAGCATAAAAGGACCACTCACGCTCCGAAGGACAGGCAGTCATTAGGTCGGCTATAGCCAAGTGATAACAAAACCCCCGTGTAACGGTGCAGCCTTGTGTTGGAACGTCACATGTGAAAGTTAAGATGCAGCGAAGTTACAGAGAGGCGGCATCTAGGTCAGGATTCAGCCCCCCGTAACCTCTGGACCAGCACTGGAGTCTTTACTCTCTCAGTACAAGGCCTGAGGTCTCTCACACACACACACACACACACACACACACACACACACAGGGACACAAAACACTGGCACAGATATTAACAGAATCAGAACCACATGCACATATAAACAACATACAGTTCATACATGTGGAAACCTGCTTCCCAGAACACCCCTGCCCCTCCTACGCGCGCACACACACACACACACACACACACACACACACACACACACACACACAGAGCAGTCAGAGAGTGATGTGCTGTACCCTGGAGAAGTGTGTCGCGCTCCACTGCACTTTGACAGTAACACAGACTGATCTCTCTCCCCTCCCTTCATCTATCCGTCGCTCTCTGCTGTTTGTGATGCTTTGACTCAGTTTTCAGTCTCAAAGTGCAAAACTCTGCAGAATGCAGACATTCGTCATTCTCAGCACAAAATCACAGTTAGCATGCAACAAGAGAAAACAAGTGTCACATGAGGAAGGCTTGGTGAATCTGGGTCCACCAAAGTTTGATCATCAGAGCGCGAGTCACTGCAATGCAAAATGTCAAACTAGGCTATAAAGATAAAAACAAGTCTGATACTCAGCCTGCTGTCTTTTAAAGTAGATGATACAAGAGAGTCAAATTTATTTATACCGCATCTTTCATACAAAAGCTGCTCAACATTCAGAGACGAAAAGATAAAAGCATTAGGACGAAACAAAAATGCAATAAATACAATAAAGTTTATATTTTATGTAAAAGCTACAGAAACAAGGTTTTAATCCTGATTTCAAATAATAGACTCTTTGTTTTATTCCACAAACGTATGTTACTCTCATTCTGTAATCTGTAGTGGAATACATTTTAAAAGCAACCTTCCCAACACTGAGCATAACTATGCTCCATAATCTGAGCTAAAGAAAGCATATAAATATTAAAAGGAAGCAGTCCGACAACAGAGCCCTGAGGAACCCACACGTGACCTTTATTTGGTCAGAATTATGGTTGCAAAATGACAAAGAAAATCTGAATTTGTCAAATAAAATTCAAACCAATTAAGCGCAGTTCCTGAGAGTCCCACCCGTTTCTCCAGCCTATCAAGCAGCACTGAGCTGAAGCACTACTGGGACTGTAACTTTTGATGCATCACTATTACGCTGAATAAAACTGTGATAAGAGTGGTGTCAGCGCTATGATGGGGTCAGAATCCAGACACTGAGAAGATTGTTCTGAGTGACTTTGCTGGTAAACAACCGTCTCAATAACCTTTGCCAAAAACGTTAATTTAGATATCAGCTGGTAATTACTAATTACTGAGACATCCAAGTTGGACTTTTTTAAAAGAGGTTTTATTACTGCATTTTTCAGGGTCTGAGTAAAATGCTGTGATTGCAGAGATGTATTATCTATCTGTAGTATTAGTGGGCAATATATCAAAGGAGAAAGCTGTAGATTTCATCTATTTAGCAATTTCTGTCAAAGATATGAGGTTTAAAGGTTTATTATTAAGCTATTATGTTATTACTATGTCTCTTGAAATTGAAACACCAACTGGTTGACTTGTCTTTTGTATTTTCTCAGTAAAAAATGCTGCAAAATCATTACATGGTTTATTGGACGATAACTCAGAAGGAAGTGGTGGCAAAGTTTTTGTTAGTCTATCAATAAACTGTTCTGAGTTCTAACCATTAAATCATTGATCTTTTCCCTCCACGGATAATTTTGGTCTTAATTGGAGCAACAGTATCCATAACAGTGAGCAGACTAAGGTAAAAACCATTTACAAGATCATCAGCAGAATCCAAAAGCAAAGATGATGGAGGTATATAAGCCTCAATAAACTGTGGACAGGTATTGTCACTGATACGTTGATAGCTTCATCTTTACCAGTGATTTTAAACATGACACAATAATGATCTGAAAAGGCTGCATCACTGACCACAGTGTCAAATACATTTAAACCTGTAAAGATCCAATACTCTTCTCTGAGGGCCTTCAACTTTCAGATTAGTGCAAAGCTCAAGCCCAGATTACGCAGATCTTCAGGATCGGATGCCAAGTCTGCATTAATGGTGCAGTTTGAGGCTCTGCCCCATTCATTGATGAACGATTATCCAAATCTTCAGGATGGGACGCTGAATCGTCCATTGATGCTACAGATCTGTTCTGTAACTTCACG